ACAATCCTGATAGGAATCGAGCTGAGCAACAGCTAGCTATATCGATAGTCGGTTGTAAAATGTTTAAACGACATCTGATCAAAAGGAAGATCAAGAAGAAGAAGAAGCACGTGTAGAGGAAGAAGGAGAAGAAAGAAAGAAAGAAGTGAGAGGAGAGAAAGATGAAGAGGTTGGTGGAAATTTTTTTATTATTTTAAAATTATCATGTCACTAAAAGTTGATAAAAGTAGATTTTTTTTATATTTAAAATTGTCACTTAAAACTTTCATTAATATATTAACGGTCGAATGATTTAAATCTAACGAATCGATAACGTAAAATATCAAACATACTTAATTAAAAAATCGATGACTAAAGTCAGTCGGACTGAAAACAAAGAGAACTAATGAAATAATTTACCCTTAAAATTAAGATTTTAATATCAATCCAAATTAAAATGATATTTTTTATCAGCACATTGCAGATTTGATTAATGATTTTACAAAAAATTATCATATGAATTTAATTTTAATTGTAAATTTATTTTCTTATAATCAAATCATCCATGTTATTAAATGTCACGGTTTAAAAAAGAGATTAATAAAAGCTATAGGTTTATTTAGTCTTCTACCCAAGTTCTGGCGGATGATGAAATACATATAGCCCATTTTGGAGTGGCCACGCGTGTCTGGTGATGAAATCAGCTACTTCTCTTGGGATGTGTGTGATTACAACTTTAAACGAAATCAAAATTTATCAAAAGTTGAAAAAGTTTGTCCCTTGAAAAACTCAATTTAGCAGTTTTTACGGAGTATAAAATAAAAATAAATTTGCTGGTTGGGTTTCAAGTCGGTTCAGAGCTAGCGAAAAGCGATGAGTGGAGTTCAAACGGCGCGAGAAAACGAGACGCTAGTAGAGGCGGCGCTTCGTGTTCTCAACACAGCAGACCCTTTGGAGAAGGCTCGACTCGGCGACTCAGTTGCAAACAAATGGCTCCAAGGAACCATCACCCAACCCTACGACCCATCGCTCGACCTTCCCGTTCCCAACCGACCCGCCCGGCTCACCAACGTACGTAGCAGAAGCCCTAGATTTAGCTGTTATTAAAATATTTCAATTAAAAAATAATGGGTTTTTAATTTTTTTTTAAGGTTAAGTTGGTGTCTCCTAGTTTGATGCCAAAGCTTGGGAAAGCAGGTAGCTTGCAGAGCAGACAAGCCATTGTGCATACTCTCGTACACACGGAGAGTTGGGCTATTGACTTGTCTTGGGTACCTTTTTGTTCTCCCTTTGTTTTTATTTTAGTTGTTTTGGGTATGATTATGTCTGTTTTCATTGTTTCAAGGCATTTAAGATTGTTATGTATTTAGTTAATTGTTAGGAAGCAGGGTTTTCTATTTTCAAAGGTTTCTTGAATAGTTAAGTGCAAGTTTTCAGTTTTGAAGAGTTGATGATTTAGGAACTCCCCCCTCTATTTGTGTATCTATTCATTCTTTTATAGATTTGATATAGGATATAATTGCTCGATTTGGTAAGAAAGAAGAAATGTCAAGAGAGTTCTTCACAGATTAAGTGAAGGTAGCTCAAGATGAAGGCCGCCACTTCAGCCTGCTTGCAGCTCGACTTGAGGAGCTTGGTTCTTCTTATGGCATGTTACCTGCTAATGATGGGCTCTGGGATTCTTCAATAGCTACATCCAAGGACTTGCCGGAACGGTTAGCAATTGAACACTGTGTCCATGAGGTGCATGATTTTCTTGTACTCGTCTTCTATATTGGGCATTCAAGAAAGATCATGTTAGGAGGAAGGAGGTCGCAGAAATAAGAATGTTTCGATGGACATGTGATAGGACTCTGTGGGATATGACATCAAACTCTTCTATTAGGATGTCTTTGGAGTGGTGTCTATATCCAAAAAATTGAGGAAGAGAAGATTACGGTGGTTTGGGCATATCCGTAGTCGACAACCGTCGGATGCGGTCAGAAGGGTAGAGTCAATTACAGTCGACGGTGTTAGAAAGAGAAGACGACCAAGGCGGAAGTGGGAAGACTGCTTGAGATATGATTTGAAGGATTTAACCCTTACCAAAGACATGACCTCTGATAGGAAAGTATAGAGACTTAAGACCAAGGTAGCCGAGTAGTGCGGGTCACATCCGTAGGGTGTATCATCTCTGTCTTCTTTTAATGCTTTTGTAGTAATTTACATGACTATTTTTTATACATTTCTGTCAATGGAAATTATGGAGGCTTAGAACTAGGGTAGTAGAGTAGTGTTGTCTTTGTTTATGTTTTAACTCATTTTAATTTTATTCTTTCTCGTAGTTTGTTATCCTTGATTTTTGTGTATACTTCTCTTCATGTTTCATCTTTTTAAATTTTGTCGGGTCTTACGTTTCTGTCTATTGCAGAGATTTTTACGCAGGGATTTATTTGCATGAATTACTTCCCATTACAAACGCGCATATTGAAGACTGCATTATGAAAATTGTTCAAGTATGTATTTATTTATTTAATTATACATGCATTGTATTTTATCTTTATTTTTAATTTTCTGACTGTCGGAAGTCTTCCACGGAAGTTGTTTTCAACCTGGCGTTGGGGCGGCTTAATACCCTACTTCCCCCTTACCCTTTTGTATATGGGAATAGGATTTTGTTGTTGTTGTTGTCGTCTTCTATATTACTAGTTTGCATTGCATTAATGAAAAATTATAATAACTTAATTCTGTTTTAATATATGAATTCGATGAAAAGTACTGCTTGCAAATGGCCTTCGATACCAGGGGTGTAAACGAGTCGAGTCGAGCTCGAGTATTGCTGAGCTCGACTCGAAAACTCTGAAATAAAATTCGACTCGACTCGAAAATTCGCGAGTTTAAAATTTTCAAGTTCGACTCGAACTCGAAATCCTGAATTGAAGCTCGTGAGAAGCTTGAAAAGGCTCGAAATGAAAAAAAATTCTTAAACTTAATTCGATTAAAGTCTCAAACTCAAATTTGAACATAAATCTTAAATACATAAAATTTTATTGTATTTTTTTAAAAAAATCATTACATAAATATTAATATTATTAATAATTTATTTTTAAAAAAATAAAATTTTAATATATTATATTTTCGAGTTGTTTACGAGTTTTTCGAGTCGAATATCGAGTAGTTCGTTTCGGTTCGTTAAGAACTCGAGTCGAGCTCGATCTTGAGTCCATTCGATCCGAGTATTTATCGAGTCTTGATCGAGTCGATCTCGAATAGTTCGCGATCTGTCTAATCTCATTTATTGCCCTATTCAATACTTCCAATAGACATCTCATTTAGTGTACTTGTCATGTGGTGGAAAGATAAGGACTTTTAGGTGATTGCATACCGAATTATATATATAAAAAGGGGAATAATGCAAACAATAATGCATTTGAACTATGAAGATATTAATTTAATAAGTTCTTTGTGGTCTTAAGTACAGATGGAACAACTTTATTTCATGTGAATATCTTGGGAACCTTGTAATTAAATAAAAGACAGTGGATTTGATGCATCTAAATAAGCAAAAAGATCATTAATTCACGAAATGTTCACTTTGATGAAGCATCTGAAAATACGATGCAGGCTAGGGGACTTGATGTTCTGCCGACAACTATCTCTAGGTTCCGTAATGGAGGCGATAATGACACGGCTGATTTACTGGAGAGAGTAGTTTACCCCGAAGAGATTACGCATTGTGCTGCAGGAGTAAAGTGGTTTAAGTATCTTTGCCTGAGATCCCAAAATCCATCTTTGTACCAAGACGGCGTGGCATCACAAGAAAGTGAAGCCAAAGGCGTTGTGACTCCAATGGAGGAGGTAAGTGAAGAGGTGATTCAAAAATTTCATGAAATAGTGCGGACACACTTTAGGGGACCATTGAAACCACCCTTTAATGAGAAAGCGAGGGAAGCTGCCGGCTTTGGCTCTCAGTGGTATGAGCCCCTTGCCGTGAAAGGGTCTCACAATGCTAACTAGTAGACATACTCGAATTCTCCAAGCAGTTTTCATCAGATTTGTATTGCTTGTGAGCACCTACAGGTTGAGTATTGTTTTTTTCTTTTTTTGCTTAGATTGCCGATCAAGGTCTATGAAATGTTCCAAATGTGTTTGGCTAATATTCTTTTCTTGATTGAATAAGTCATGGTTTCATGCAGTGAATGGTGTTTGATCTATTTGCATTCAGTAGTGTAATTAGATATCAGTCATTGTGAGCCATGTATTGTATAGGTCAATTTGATCGGCAAAATATCCATTCAAACCATGAAAAAAAAGCTATGGCATTAATCAGAAAAGTAATTGGTACTTTCAGTATCTGCATTTTCCCATTTATCTTTATTCATCGCATGTAAACATGAATTGCAGGAGCACCCTGAAGAAGGCATAAAAAAAACTGATGGAAGTGGTAAAACTAAACAAATTCATGCAAAATTTTACATCTGAAACAACTTGGTTCTTGTGAATAAGTCAAATGAGTTGAACAAATTTCGGCAATCATTTCGGTAACCAGGATTGCACAATAGCCTCTCTGCCGCAATGGAAATTCCGGGAAAACTGAAAATGATCAGTTTGGAGAATTATTATCAAGCTTTTAAGAAAGTCACCTCTCCACCATAGCTCATTCTGATGGGATTTCAACAACACAAATGTTATTATAGAAGCAGCCTCCGAATATCACTGAAGTTTGTTTGTAACGCTGAAATAAATGCACCTGCAACAAATATTACAGAAATCTCATGCCATACCGAAGTATTTTAGGTTTTATATTAGGGGATGTCCCTCGTCCATAGGAAGATCCGTATTAAGAGCAGTGGTTAAAAGACTGGCACCATCACGTAACTCCGACTTTGCCGCAAAAAACATGATGATCGGCAGATAATGTCAAGTTCATTTTTGTCACGACTGCTGGCCTCTCAATACTTGCGCATGAATCAACAAATGAAATGCGAAACACTTAGAAGCATAAAGTTTAAAGAAGCATGCTGGACAAGTGTAATTTACCATCACTTCCTGTCACCGGTTCGACAAATTCGTTTCCTCTACCAACAGCAAGGATACCGGCCTGCCATAAAATGAACAGAGTTTTATTGCACCTTACAATGTCTGGATTACTTTATAACAGCATCCATTACAGTTGTTAAATATTCTAAAGAGTGCCTATGGGAAAAAGTGCAGAAAAGAAAAACGACATTAGTAGTTCACTGTTTTCAATCAACAAACGGAAAAGAATGTACTACGCTTTTTCCAAATTTATTGCTTTCTGTAGGAAAAAAATGTCATTAGACCAGCTACTTTTGCCTTCTGAGGACTGAATGTAACAGTATTCATGGATGGAATAAGCTGAAGCTATATTTTAATGCTCTCTAATAAAGGCACAGGGTGTTTGACTTGTAATAGACTTTGGTGTGGGTGCACATCTGAGCAAGCATGTAGCACATTCTCAGCATATATATATGTACAAACATGTGCATGCACACGTGTCCGTGTGTGAGAGAGTACCTGTGGGGGATTTATAATTGCACAAAAATGGTCAACAGGAAACATTCCCAGATTTGAAATGCTGCCGAAGATGACAATTTCTCAATATTTCTTTCAACTATTAAAAGACAATGGAAAACTAATATCCAATAGGTATATAATAAAATTCATACCTGAATGTTCCTCCTTGAAATTCGTTTGGTAAAATTTTCCCGGTCCGAGTTTTTTCAGCTAGTTGCTTGACCTGAAGGCCAAGTTATAGAAGATGAGCATGATAAAACCAAAACTAGAATGTAAATCGATAATTACTAAAAATATTAACCGAAAAGAACCAGGCCAAAGAATGGAAATTAGCACATAATTCTGACCTTGTCGGCCATCATCTAGTACATTGCAGATTGTTTTAAACATCTAGCTAGCTTCGCTTAACCTACATCTACACGGAGTTTCAGATTAGTCAACATAAACGGAAAGGTGAGATGAAAGGAAAATCGAAGGTAGGAGCCCAGAATGAAATGGTTGGCTCGTCAAGATTTGCAGTATTAGCGGAGCTCCAAACGGAGGATCAACAAGAATATAGGGAGGAAGTGGTCGAGGGTAACCCAAAGGAGAAGAAGGAAAGATAAGGATCAAAGGGTAAGCAAAAGAAAGACAGGCCAAAGATGGACCAGGGTATCGGATGGGGTATATATGGTACCTTCAATAAAAGGGCAGATTACTGAGGTAGTAATGCATGCCACAGGACATCTACCAGACAATCATAGTGCAATCTTCATCAAGGAAACTGGTACGGACTCCAAAGGAAAGAAGGGATACGTACGGCTAACGAATCCGAACGGTGAGGTGATTAAGACACAAAGAAAATATAAGGGGAGGAGCAAGATCGACTGGCCATAATATTATGACGAGTGGGTGGGAGAACAATCTATCGCAACACATTGAGGATATTGGAAACACCAGAGTCGTCACTGAAAGAGCAAATTGACACTCGGCTACTAGAGGTGGGTCTCATTAACGATAATGATTCGATGGAAGATTCAAAGGAAATGGGGGAAAGGATGTTGAGACTCTGGTATGAGTCCAATTGGTTCGCAGTTCCTATATTTCCTCCTACCAAGGTAACACCTTAATTTAGGGGTTAAATTTAAGAAATTATAAAGTGGTGAAATTAATTGGTATTTTTGGAAGAAATTGAAGATTAAATTGTAACATTTCAAAGTTGGCAGACTATTTTAAGAAGTGCAGGAAGTTCAGTGACTAAACTTATGATTTACCTATTTTTATTATGGGATAATTATAAACTCCATTTTCCACGCCCAGTTTTAGTTTGTTTACCGTTTTTCACTTCCCTCAACCCCTCTTTCAACTCCGATCTACTCGTCGTCCGACCTCCGATCGACGAGCCGAAACCACCATCGTGTTCGTTGTCGAGCGAGGAACAAAACCCCTCAAACCTTTCATCGTGAATCGTTGCCGTTCGTCGTTAATTTCAGTCGGAAGTATCGTCGGTAATAACTCAATTTCAATTGGTTTTTCGTCGATTCACGACGATACGAGCATCCGTTTACGACACCTCCCGCACCATCGTGTTCATTGCATCGTTCCGAGTCTGCCGGTGTCATCCTTGGTCTCCGTCGACGGCGGCGCGTGAGGAGGTGAAGCGGTCAAAGTTTTCGATTTGTTGAAATCGAGCTCTCCGCCGTTCAAAATTGTGAACCGAGCTTTGTAAGTATCTCGAAATCGCTCAAAATAATTTTTAGGAATTTTTTCGGGAATTTAGAACTGTTCACACGCCCCCACGTGCCGCCACTGTGCGTGGGGAAGGAAAAAGTGACCGGTTTGACCGATTTTGGAACTGTTTTGACTGGTTTGACCGGTCACAACCCGACCCAACCCGTTGACTGTTGATCGGCGTTGACCAATGTTGACCAAAACTTTGACAGGCTTTGACCGGGCATTAAATGACCTTTGACTTTGACCGAGTATACCTATCTTGACATTTTTCGACGTTCCAAATCCGATTCTACAGTCTGGTTTTCGAAATTAGAACCCGAAGGGCTCGATATTGACAGTCAATCCCGTTGACTTTGATTTTGACCAAAAATTCCAAATTTTCGAAAGTCATATTTTATGCTTTCGACATCCTGAATCCAAATCCAAAGTCCGTTTCGGCAAATTCAAAACCGGTAAGCTATTTTTCACTGATTTATCACCCGATTCGATCCGTTTATCGTAATTAAGCTATGTTTTTATATAATTTATGTTGATATGTATCTGAGGAATTATTGGAAGTTGAATTCAAGATCGAGGGGGTTCAAATGGAATTTATTGGTCTATTAGTATTGCATGGAAATCGAGGTAATACTTTACTACCTCTTTATGCTTTATAGAACATGTTGGTATTGGTAAATGCATGAATAGAAATGTTTTGTCTCATATGTGTAATTAATAAAGATCTACACTAGATACGAATACGATAGAAAGTATGTAACTTAATATGGCTCAGATGACTATTATAAGAAATTGAAGGACAGTTGGAATTAAATTACAAGTTCTGGAATTAAGTGATAAAAGAATCAGCCATAGATATGTAGATTATAATTTATCTCATTAAAGGTACTTTGATGATAAATTATGAGAATATTTTGATTAGGTAAAATTATGAAATTACCCTTATGCTGGAAAATAACAAGAATTATCCCTGGAAGTGGATTAATAAATCTGAAAAGAATTACTGATCTGCTAAAACTATTGATGTGCATAAGAAATGTTAGTTTTACTTGGAAATTATGGATAACCGGTTTTTTAACCCCAAGAAGGTTTATGCTAGTTACTAGAAGTCTTTTAAGGAATTATTTGAAGATCAAAGAATGTTTGAGGAAGCAATTAATCATAGGATCTCTATATTATATTATTTTCGTTAAGAGCTAATATCGAAATTATCTGGTTAAGAAATTACGAAAATGCCCTTGAGAGGTAAAATAGTCAGAGTTGACCCTGAAGGAGAAAGTACTTTGAGGATTTGTACTTAACTCGATTAAGTACAAATTTAATTATTAAGATCCTGTCTTTGTAAAGAAAAATTCAAGATTTTTCGTTTGTAAAATCCGAGAAGGCACTTGACCCGAAAATATCCGAGTTATGAGTAAATACCTAAAGAACAATTTATCGGAGGGTGCTCTTTTATCAGAATTGTTCGAAAGGACTGGAATAGATGATAAATTGGAATTAAATAATAAGACCGGATGGAGGGAAAAGATTGAAATACCGTAAATCTGTAAAATGACCAAAATACCCCTGTCATGGAAATGACCCAAGAATATCACCAAGCTTAGGAATGATTGGATATCCTCGAGCTCTGAAATGAATGGAATAAAACTGAGATCAAAATGACCAAAATACCCTTATGGCCTATATTAAGTAAATATCTTGGATTATAAGCATAGGTGTTGGACTACCTTTAGAAGTTATGGAACAGAGTTTTAAGTGAGTTCATCAATCTTAATGATATGTCAGTACCTGAACGACATAGATGTTACTTGAATATTTGTTCGCCTTCTCAAGTTTGGTTCGATGATAATTTTGGAAGTACTCAGCCCAGCCCAACTCTATATCGCATTCGGTACTAAGAAATATATATATTCATTAGACAAATAAACCTTGAAGACCAAATTGAATTGAATGAAAGTACAATATGTATATGAATTTCAAAAATGTTTGGATTATCTTAGAAAAACCCCCGAAGTATCTGAAATGGACTTGAATGCTAAATGAACTAAGTAACCTCAAATACTGAGGATTAAGTAAGAGATTGGAATAAGTTTGGAAATTCGGATGAACTTATATGATGTATCATCCATATGGATTATGAACCACAAATCAAGTACGTCAACATTTCCTGGTATAGTTGAAACATGGAAATGAAATAAAGACCATTAGAATATTTGTTTGTCTCCTTAAGATTTATTCAGTGATGACTCAGAAGATGATCTGTGGATAAGAATATTTGGTATTAAAGAGTAAATACCCTGGAAGGTTAATGAATTGACAAGTTGGTAAGTATTGGTTCTGAGAGGTATTCATCTGTAGTTGTTCGATAATCAGATTAATCGTCATAGATTGTAAAGATTTTGAATACCTTCAAATTTTGTAGAGATTCAGAAAAGTGTTCGAATAAGATAATCCCGATAAATCATATCCTGAATAACTGATGATTCTATTAGTTAATGAACTTTTTCAAATAGTTTTTCTAACTTCCGACATTCTATCGGTAAACTGAAGATTTGTGTCTCTCTACCCTATAAGATTATACAATATCTCTGAATAATATCTGTAAACTCTGGAGTGTTCCCTAATCATATAAATATTTTATCTGATTTCTGACTTGAATTTTGTTCTGATATATGACCTGAATTCTGTTCTGATTTCTGATCTGGATTCTGTTCTGATATCTGTTCTGAATTCTGTTTTGATTTCTGATATCTCCGTTTAATGACGGAAAAATGTTTTAATTGGGGGGTATTGTTGAAGGAAGTATTTTCGCAGGTTCATCGGCTTTGTGCTCAGAGCCTTATATGATGTGTTGGGTTGGGTGTATGGTTATGGTGAACCTACACATTCTGATGTGATGGGATGGGGGTATATATATATGTTTTAAAAGATCTGTATCTTTTTACTGGTTTTACGGGAACACACTAGATAACCTATTCTGATCTCCTGAACTCAGTCATCCTAAATATTTCTCTGAAACGAAAGCTCATTGTCCATTACCACCTGAAATATCGGTAGGATCTCTGCTCAGCATAAAAATCTGTAAATGTTCGGAAACAATAAGGAAATATATATTTATCTGTATCTGCACGTTCATCAGTATCATCTGGTAGTTCTGTATTACTGGGCTTTCCGAAGCTCACTCTATTACTCACCATTGCAGGTTAAAAGAATTGTAGCAGTGCAGCTATCGACATCAGTAAGGGAGTTCTTCCGGCGTTGTTTGCAGAGTACGGTACATGTGATTAGGGGGCATGTAATTGTATTTTATTTTATATACAAGTCTGAAAATCTGTTTTATTTTTTAATAGTGCAAATGATTTTATAAGTTTACATGTTCTGATAGAAGGTTTTAAAATTTCCACTATTTTTACAGTGGGTCGCTCCGGTGGCCCTAATGTGACACCTCAGATCTGATCGGGTTACCTGCATCGGTCTGAGAGGGTTACATTTAGTGGTATGAGAGCTTT